CTTTTAATGAACCGTCTCGAACTGTTAAATGTTTAACATGTATTTTATTTGTATAATTTGAATGAAGAAAAAGTCTGACTTCCATAAGTCAAAGTTTGCTTCTAGATAGATATCAGCCAATCGATTCAATAGGATCACTGGCTCCGCGATCGTCAATTGTTTAACTCTAATAACAATGCACGCGTCTTGGCTACAAGGGCAATTCGCCGTGAAAGATTAAAGTAACGACTGAAGAATAATTCTCTTGATTCTCAATCTCTTCTTCAGATTATGAACTTCAGTAAATAGTGTTTCATACAAGCACATTTGAATGTGGCAGAAATTGACGGGAATGTTTGAAAGAGATAATGAACAATTAAAATATAACTTACTTTAACAGTTTTTTAGTCCAGAATACAGTAGACCCAGATGTAATTATCCACATAAGCAAATTAATAAATTTGACCTATAAATTAAAGAGTTTAGATAAAGTGATAGATGGTGAAATGTTAATTAAAAAAATATTAGGAATACTGCTTAGGGAATATAACCAATTTAGAAACACATAAGAATCGATAGCCAAGACAGAAAAACTTTGAAAAACTTGACTGCCAGACCTACAGCAGAAGAAGAAAGGTTCTTGAATAAAGTAGAAATATCGAACGCAATTGCATATAAAGCGAAAGAAAGAAAATATTACAAATGTAACTCCGAGAACCACATAGCAAAACGAAATAAGTCGAAATCATGTAATAAAAATAGAATTAAAACAAGACGTTATAGATGTAATCAGAAAGGACACTACGCATCAACCTGTCAACAAAAGATTGAAGACAAAGGTTGCTGTGTTTATAAAAAAAAACCAATCACAACAAGAAACAATGTTATTTCAGAAATATTTTGGTTTTTAAAATCAGAATTTCCTCTCCCCAAACCATTCTTTTTCCATCGACGCCAAGTATGGTAAATTTACATTCACCCGAAAATATATCTAACATTTTCCCAAAATTCTATTGGCTCATTTATATACATTTTTGCAACTCCTAGCTGTATTACTTGTAAAAGTTTTTCTTTGTGGCTCTACTGTGTCCCCATATGGGCAAAATGTAAAATATTTCTGACGATTTGAGGGCAACAACTTTTCCACATGGTGATGTAATATTATTAGATAACGAACAAGCGCTTAGAACAGAAGTTTTTGTAATTTTCCACGCCAAGAGATCATGTCTACTGACGTTTTCATTAATTTTCGTGTTATGGTTAAAATCTCGTGTTATTTTCAAAAATAAATATTAATATAAATGGATTCGCTCACCAGTATTCTTGTAATCTATCCCTTTACATTTGTTCCATTAGAATAAATATTTTAAATAATTTCTTCATTTCTGAACCTTAGACGCCATTTTCTTTGTTTCGGTACCAAACGTTCCGAAGCGAGAAAAGTATTCTTCTTTCTTTAATCTTCAATTGTAGGCTTATCAGGCTTTCACTTTTACGTGAAATATTACAGTCCTTATTCACTATTTTTCTTCATTTCATAACATCACTTACTCAAAGAATATCGATATCATCACAAATTCTTATTCAGATGAAATGTCATTCGGTATTTCTGACAAACCATTTGCGACGATCTGCGCGGCCAGGCTACTTCCGGCTACGAATGTGGCGCAGCGCAGCGCTGACCATTACGAAAGTCGACCGATCATCGATCGTCAATTGTCTCCAGCGTGGAACCCAAAAAGCGCATAAGAGGACGGGTCCACGCTGGACGACTCAGTGTAAATTTAAAAGTCGCGCAAATCACAAATAAAACATTTTTCTACGTACTACTTCTTTGCTGCATTTTTACCTTCACTACACATTAAACATCATTATCATTAAATTATCAATAATTAATATTGACTTTCATTTTTCGCATTTCTAAAAGACAATTTTTATGTTATAAATTAATATAAAAACTGTTTCTTCGCAAATTATTAGGTGCAGAAATGAATTCGGTGCCTTGATATTAAATTATTTATAACCCTGTTTAAGTACCAATACTTACAGTTATGAAACATTTGACATTTAGCCAAAACAAAAGCTATTTGTAAGAAAGATGGCGGCGTCTTCAAATAAAGAAAAATGCCTCCAAAGCTGCTGACATGATTTGTTCTGCGTTGGGTGAAGGTGCAGTAACACATAAACACCAACTGTAAAAAGTCGTATCATATGTTACAGTAACTGTAAAAAATGGTATGAAAGATTTCGAAGCGACGACTTTGATCTTTCTAATCGAGAAAGTTCCGGACAGCTAAGAAAATTTGAAGACGAGGAACTTAAGGCAGCTGTTCTGTGAAAATTCCGCACAAACACATCATGAGCTAGCAGTGCAACTTGGGATGTCACAAAAAGCAATTTCCCATCGACTGAATAAGTTAGGATTGGCCAGAAACAAAGTCAGTAGGTACCGCATAAGCTCGGTTCTGAGAACAAAGGACGACGACGTGAGATGGCAACATCGCTGTTAACAAGGTTCAAACAGGAGTACTTCTTACACAACATCATAATGTGCGACGAGAATAGGTATTGTATCACCACTCTGGGTGAAGAAAATTGTGGGTTCACCCTGGAGAATCGTCGACATTCACTGCAAAACCAAATATCCACGCTAAGGAGCTTTTGCTGTACGTATGGTGGGATGTAAAGGGAGTAGCATACCATGAATTCTTCTAAGCTGGTCAGACTGTCAATGCAGATCGCTACCAGTAGCAATTGATTCGCGTGAATGATGAACTCCAAAGAAAAAGACCGTTTACAGATAACGTGTCGTGCTAGGAGGCGATCTCTCCGAAGTCGTAGTAGGAGATTCGTTTCGAGCGCCTGGCGCGATACAGGACTGTTTTTGAGAAATGCTTAAAGCACGTAGCCCGATGGTGGACCATAAATTGAGTGTCCCATCGTTGGCGAAAGCGGGGCTGCACTCAGTCACAGCCATCGCGTAGAATAGATCTTGTATTTTAAACCGTATCACAATAAACGTACTCCTTATTTTCCATAGCGATTTTACTGTTTCTGCTCACTGCACCTCTGATATAAACCTCAAAATTACTACAGAACGGAACACGGCATGTCATCTTGGAATAAAACAACACCTGATCACACGTTGCAAAAGCAACAAAGGATGTCATTTGTTCTTTGGGCTGGGAAATCCTGTCACATGCGGCATACTCCCTTGATTTGGCCCCATTGGATTTTCGTTTATTCCGACCATTCCAACATCATTTAACAGATACGAATTTCCAAATATCGGAAGAGGTGCCAAAAAGTATTGACGCATTCATTGCCTCAAAATGGCCATCTTTTTTTTCGTCAAGAAATTCGGCAGTAGCTTGAAAGATGGACTAAAGTCATCGAAAATAATAGACTATTTAAAAAGAATAACAGATCTGTGATGACTGTTAAGGCCACTTATAGCCTTCGCGTTTCGTCTGGGTCCTTAGATTACCATAGTTTTAGAATTGTATACATTTTATCTTTCCATAAGAGTTATTTATACATTCTTTAGATTTCTTTAACAATAAGAGCCTTCGTCCCGTCGCGACTTGCAACCGTCCTTTCGGTATTACGAAAAGAGTCCGTGGCAGCCATAAATCCATGAACCCATAAGGCCCGCGACCCTTACTGCAGCTTTCCCTGTCTATTGTTTACATATGGCGTCCAGGCATCAGCATTTCTAACTCTCTAGTCCGTCTGTTTTAGCATGTGTTATTAAGGCCGACGCGTTTCTTGCCTTTTACCTGCCACGGTCAAGGATTGCAAACGGGACGAATTAATTAGTAACATCAGCAACTAGGAAGGCCCAAGAAGGGAGGGAACTTTGTCTCCCTTCAACAACCCTCTATACTTACAAAAACCAACCAGAACGTCTTCACTCCCGCTAAGACGACTCGACCGAGGCATCATCGAATACGATTCTGGGAGGTTCAGGCAGTAGGAAGTCAGATCACAGATAGTACAATATCAGAACATAACGAGTCAAAACAAGAACCAAGTCTACCTTAGCACCTACTCATTTCTTAAGTTTTGTTCCCGATTATTCGGATAGTTGTTCGAGAAATATAAGTTTATACGTCGGCACATCACGTGTAAAACGCCTACAACGCTCGAACACCCTTGCGGTAAACACGAGTACTTAATAATTACTTTATACATAAATACTAAATTTCTTTTAATATCTACGCCTAATGAAACGCTGACTTCCATTAATAAAATGTATTAATAACAATAAAACGAATGAAATGTTTTATAAATCACTGATAATAATGACTAATTCTTTTCCACTTTTTCGGCATTTTGACATGCACTTGTTTTGGGATTTTTTGTCACAATTTACTGTCTCCTTAGCTACTAGGTATATTTCTGATGTTTCTGATCATCTGTATTATTTTTCTTCCCGGTCAGCAAAGCAGAATCGTCGGGATATTCTTTTGTTATACCTCTCTCGATGTTCTACTGACGACGCGCCAACAATGTCGATCGATAACAATGTAAAAATTTAAATGCCTTCAAGCCACGGTAAAGCCAAATACATTGGATATATAAATAACACATCGAAATCACTACATTCTTCGTGAAGACATACGTTGGACATATTTTTTTCCAATATTATCATTTCTGTAATTGTCACCATAAAATCAAAATACACAATAGAATAATATGTAACATTAACAAAAAATATGGTACATGTTCCATATTAGACACCCACGCATTTCGATAGAAAAATAATAACTATTTTAAGAAAAGAATTAATTTGCAGCAAATTGCTTTTAAGTACTGAAAAACAAATGTATTCAATGATAAAATATGTAAACATACAATTTTTTAATCTATCTATATTAAGAAATTTGACTATGTCATTCGTATTTTAGAAAATTTAATATATTATCAAATACAATAATGCTTCATAGCCAATGACAAATTCTTAATGGATGTGTAACTATTAATATGATCATTTTCTATTACTAACAAAGTGTTTCCCATGGTAAATGACACGTCCAGCTATTTATTTTTCGAAATATTGTGGCGCTCCATATTAGGCGCCGTTACCCTAACAGTGAATTAATAATAAATGATTTAATTAACCATTCACACACGTCCTTCTCATAAGTTGCCACAAGGCTTTATTATACTCGTACACCTAGTAACATAACAAACAGATCAAGCTATCTTTAATTCGTCGATCGTCGATACTCACGCACAACGAGCATTAAAATTGTATATCTCATGACCTGGCATCCACGTTTGGTTAGCTATGTACATATGAAATATCTCCAGACTCGTACGCAATATGTCAACATTAATGACTAACCATTTGTCTCAGGAATAGATTTCCCAATGAAAGGTTTCTAAACTAATTTTTGTATTTTTTGAAATTGTCATATAGGTTGTTACATTTAAGTGCAAATGATTAATTATCTCGCCAGGTATTGAAGCTATGAAAAACATGTTTAGAGGTAAAGGTTATTTGGTATGAAGGAGTACATTACACAATATAAATAATTTGTATGTGATTGTGGTAGTGGGGGTAATCCAAGAATAAGTTAAACTTTTTTTTTATGTAAAAAAACGCAATTTACAACGCAATAGCAGATGCTAAGACAAGTTCAATAATATGCTACGTCATGTTATTTCATCTAGTAATGCCGTAAATAAACGAAATGTGTAATAATTTTTATCGATACTGATCGGACAGTGTTGGTCAACGGAACGTGTTGTAATTTTATTACGCATCTTTTCGTGCTAGACTGATTAATTATCTACCAGACAAATATGTTTGTATAAAAAACGCTAGTGCTGTAACAAGTATAAAAAATTTAAGATTATTTCGAACACTGCTATATTAATAATGCATTTAAATTTTCACTTTTGACTTTTGAAAATAATTTTTTTACTTACTCTATCCTTCAATATGCCCATCATCGTTAAAAATACATTGCTGTAGTCGTTTTAATAATTGTCTTTCTATAATTGTTGAATATTTTATCCGACAATAATCTACAATTTATTTTGATAGCTCATCAATAATTGTGAACATTTCTGGAAAACAGAGCTTCTTTCAAATATCCTTATAGAAAAAATATCACACCTTGAAGAAAGTCGATCTTTATTTATAAATGGTCATCGATGGTTCAGTGACTTTCAATGGTGACGAATGACAAAGATCTGTGCATTACGTGTTGACGAGATTTTGATACCATTTATTCGTGATATTACGACATGATACAATGTGATACGGCATACCGTAGAACTGGTTTCAATGCCTGCTATCATGCTATAAATAAAAAAATGTAAAATTATATTAAAAAATTAAATTGACTTCGAAATCTCCCCCATCATAATACTTACATAAAATTCATTTACACCATATAATGTGCCCCTTCGTATCAAACAACTTCCCTGTAAATATTTTTTTCATAGTTTCGATATCTACTGTGCAAGTAACACGCCGTATGTGTATTATGTTGTAGTGGGATTACAAATACTAATATAGCAAACCGGCCAGAGAAAAATCCTGAGATACTCCTGTAAAATACTTAACATCAAAAAGACTACCACTTCCAACATCATTAACACATTATTTTACCATATTTTGAATTGACTTTTGTTTTAATCCCATATAGAAACATAACAGGAACCATAAATCAGTCTATCATCACAGCTCGTCATCTTTTCATGGTTTCTGAAACTGTAGAGACTGAAGATGAAAACTAAAAGTGGAGAGTTTATCTAACTGGTAAAACATATTTAATAACAAGCAACAGAGAAATTGTCAGTAAATAAGCATATGATCGCGCACGTTGAAAATTCAATAAAACTAGCTATTATGTAATGCATATTTAGATACATAAATACATACATATGTACATCGTTATATCTGGCGTACGTATGTGCGGAAATATTTCTGTTTTGTTACAGAAATACTATTAAATCGATGTTTTCTATTGTAGCAACAAATTAACTGTGTTTATCACTTGCAATATTTCTTTACTTTTGAAAAATAGTGCTCTACGCTCGCTGATGTTGCAGGGATACTTAAGTATAATATATATTGAACTGTTCATAGAACCCGCGGATTGTTAAAATATATTTGTCTACTTATCGAGTGATTCGTTTATTTTGCTTATTCAAGTGCATTCATCTTCTCATTAGGCTTGAAGGTGCATTTATCTCCTCATCAATATATTCTTATTATGTATTTGTGATAAATTCTTGTATTTGAAATCATTACACTTATTATATCTTTAATTTTATTCTCAATCATTAAGCGTTTGCTTCTAGGTTTTGGAAATATGTTAATGAATATACGCTTTTACAATTTGTGTACACATCAACTCTGCGAATAAGAAATTTCTACACAACATTTTTAAATCTTTTTGTCTCAATCAAATCCCAATCATTTTATTTGAAGTAATTAGACTATATATGTTTTATAAATAGAATTAATAATTTTGTAATATGTTTTCTGAAGTAGAATAATTTATATAGTCTCGCCTTTCTTTTCAGACTCCGGTGTATTAACGTTATTGTATAATGTTGAAAATGTACATTGTAATATAGGAAATTGCATGTCTCCCGTGTGCGGCTAGAGTACGCTCGCGTAGACTCGGCGTTCTTTGGGGCGAACCAGTTGACGGAACCGCGAACATTAGCGACGAGCGTTTTGCACCTGTCGACAGAGTCGATTTGAAAACGCGTGACAAATCAAACGAAGTTGTATATCGAGAAATAAACTGTTACTATTTTTTCTACTACCTTCAGAATTCATTGCTGGAATCCCAAAATTATATATAAAATCTGTATTTTGCACAATTATGTTTTTTATTCTCAACTGTTTACTTTTGGTTTTGCTGGAAGTATTAAACAAGTAAAGATAGTAATAAAGACTACCTATGACACTTATAACACGACGAAAATAATAAAATACTTTTCAGTAAAACCAATTTATAAATTATTATATTTCATAAACGATAATTTCATAAAGATTATTGTGCCACGTATAAAAACCAAAGAATAAATGCATTCATGTACCTGAAAATCGTTTGAATAACTTTAAATATCTTCAAACAAAAAAACGTTGTAAAAAGTTCTTTATGTTATTGCTCGTTTGAAAGCTTCATTAAAATAATCTCTTTAAAAAGCCAATATATTTATATTTTATGCAGGATCGGGATTTAAGAAATTATTTAGATATTTTTTTACGATAGACTGACCTACATTTTATACGTATACCTTAAACATGACTTTATCTCGGTTATATAGGAGGATTAATTTAATAAACCAGTAATGGTGTGAACCTCTTGCTTGTACTTTTTTAAAACTTAATTGTACAGTTCTAATGTACAATATAAAACGTAATTAGAAGTCATAAATATGTAGGAAAACTGATGATTACAAGCATATATAGCAATAATGTGTGAAAATGTGAACAACGTGAACATTACTTTCGATACGTTCTAATTAGCTGGTAACGTAGATACATCTCTGATTCTTATCAGGGTGGCTGTACCGAGCGGTACGTATTATTGTACACAAGGAAAGAAGTTTGTACCTGATGAAATTCACTGGCTATGTGTCAACTTAATAATTTTCAACTAAAAGAGGTCGATTGAAATGATTGAAGATACTATTATATAGAGTAAAACGGAACACCAATTTTTTTGTTAAACGAGTGTTTTAGGCGAGCTGGTACCGCGTACATACAAGACTTCTCAACAATTTATAGAGAATTCAAAACGTTCAAAGTAGCCTTCAGAGCTTGCATCTATTTAAGAACAGTAGACAAAGCAAATAATTGCAAAATTCAGTTCGTTTGCGCGAAACCTCGAATCGCTCCCTTGAAAGCCGTAACAATTCCGCGATGTTTTCTATTGTAAACACCTTTTCTCCATTTCTCTGCAAGTTTGACCTTGAATGACCTTGAGTCATAGGTCGTTGAATTCGTCTTAAAACGCACTATCTGACGGTGGATAAAAAAATGTATCATTCCATTTAAAAAAAGAAAGTTGACCTTCACCTCACCTTGGAGTGTTCACCAGGAAAAATAAAAGTTTCACCACATGATGTCCCCCTCGGTATTGAACAACTTTCGTCTGAAACATTTTTGCGTACAATCAATATTTTCGGAGATATTGGATTGTAACGCTTTATAATTTCCACCCTATATATATAATTAATAATATTTAATATTTAATATTTATTTATTTATTATATACTTTATAATTGATTATTATATATATAATCATATTGTGTCGGAAAAATTTGATATATTGGTGTTTTCAATTTTGGGCAGTTAAAACGACCAAATCTACCGCTTCGCTCGGGTGAGCGTATACGTATAAGATCAGTTATCGTCAGATCTAACACCAAAAGACTATCTCGATGCCATCAAACGATTTTGCCGTAGAAGGGTGAAACTGAAAAACATTTAGTCAGATAATGGCACAAATTTTGTTCAGGAAAAAAAACGAAATTCTTAAAGCTCGAGCCTTCCTATTAAAAGTTGAAGAGGCTCACAAGGTGGCTAAACACTGCCCAACAGAAGAAATAAATTGGCATTTTTTTTCTCCCCGATCGCCTTATTTTGGCAATTTGTGGGAAACCTCAGTAGTCATTTAAAAATCATTTTTGTCGGACTGTGGGACAAGCGATGTTTATATCCAAACAGTTTGACGCCAGTTTAATTGAAGTAGGATCTATTCTCAATTCCGAAATCGATGTTTCCGAGGCAAGAGTTAACACTTTGTGAACATGGCAAAGAATAATGCAACTCAAACAACACTTCTGACGAAGATGGTACATGCAGTATTTAAACGGATTGTACACTGAAAGAAGTGGCTTCATGATAGTGCTAATGACCTCACAGTGGCAAGCTGGTAATTGTTACGAAAGACAACCTGTCACCGAGGCAATAGATATTGAACCACATTCTCTGGCCGTAATCACTAGCGGCTGTATGTATTGTAGTTTACTTCGTTGCAAAGCTTTACGGGCTATAATTTCGCTGCTCCTTGCGGGCCTTATTTTTGCCAGTAACATATGCGGAAACAAAAATCTCGCATACACAATCAGTCTCATTACTTTAAAAGGTTTTGTGAAAAATTGAAATTTGAACAAATATTTTGATATTACGAACCGGAGTGTTCCAGTAAACACGCCGTGTTTGGACTCATTTTAATTAGAAAAATTTCTGCAATCCATCGATACTACATTTGAGAAGGTAAGGTTAAAATTACTGCAATTGAAATTTTCTTCATTGCATGTTTACATTTAACACGTGCGGTATCGCTTTGAAGTCCCGCGTCTCGACCCACGATGCTCAACGGACTACATCTATCCAGTTTCTGCTCATTGTACTCATTTTCTGTCTCTGCATACTGGGATCGCGTTACACTGAACTCGAGAGACAGTAAGCAGTGGGGAAAGAGTAGGGCTGGTGCTATGGAATTTAGCCGAGCAGGTTTCTGTGGAATTTAAGCGAGCGTCATTGTACTTCTTTGGATGTTCCAATTTTTAAAAATCCTTTTGCCAAAATATTCTGTATACCTGACATTTTAAGAAAATTACAAAAAAAGAGACGATTTTTTTATCCATCAGAATGGTCTCCCCATTAAACAAACCTAACTCAGACACTCTTATCATTTGAGTTGAGCAATGATTAACACTATGCTATCCGGTAACACCACGTTAGTGTCGTGTGAGAAGCTATCGAACAAATACAAAAAAATATCTTACATTTATTTACATATATCCTCGAAATTTTGTGAAAATGGAGGAACAGAATTGAGAACTATTGAGATTAATAAAACTTCCGAAAACTTCGAGAAAACCCTGGTGACAGACGAAATGATCCGAACGAGTCCTACCGGCGCCAAACAAAAGCTTCTTGATTACACGTGCGGATGGCACAGTGTTAATTGAATAAAATGTGATATTTTAAACCTGACAAATCTTTAATTATCTAAATCTGAGAGAAAAAATCTCAGTCTGTGAATCTTGACTAATTAAGGACGTACTATTGGCATTTAGCTATTTAAGTATTTTCAACTAAACTGCGGAATAGTGTACCGTTTAAAACTTGGCGAGTTTTTCTGATATTCTCTGACCTTATCAGCTTCCTATTTTCCTAGCATCGTTTTTGAATTGAATTATGTTTTCGTTGTGTCGCAATTTACCAAGCGAATTTTAATTCTATTCGGGGTTGTAAATCCCGAAGTAACCTTTCGGTATGCGACTCGTCTTGACACTTGCCCGCCAAATTAATATTGGACACTTAAATCGATAGCGTTAAATCCCGACTGATGGACTGTAGTTCCCGAAATTGAAAGGAGTATTCACGTTGTCCCGAACGATAGATTCGTGATTACTAAGAGCGTATGATTATGAGTCTCGTATGAGTGACTCGCTTGAACTTGTGTATCTCCCGAACGATGGACTTGTTGCGAAGTATTGCGATAAAAAGAGTGTAAAAAGTGTCCGAGTGCGATCCTGTAGATGTTTTTATACAACACCTTCAGGTCGCATCGAGTGCACTGATTGGGTATTTTCGACTTTCCAATCAGCACATAATTCCAAAAAATCGGAGGCGTTTTGGACGACGCCCTTTGGTCAGCCCTCTTGGCGCGAAGGTGAGGGCAATGGCCACGCGCGGGAGATCCTCAAAGACTTGCCGATTACTTGGAAACTTCC